ATTTGATTCTCCATTATAACCCATTCCGGGTGTTGGAGGAGATCTGTACATATTCGTACTCACATGCAGGGACCCGCTCAAAGAGTGACATCAGAATCGTATCAAATCACCCTATCAGCTGGGCCCTGACAACAGACCATAAGCGTGTCTCAAAGTACGGTGCTCTTAATAGGATATATGGTGACCATTACGGAATCATTGGGCACAGGCTGCCTTGAGAAACTACACTGAATCATCCTTCCTTCCCACCGAAAGCCACCACTCAGTCGAGCATGCATGTTTGGGTCGAAAGCGCACGAAGATGCAGCTTTCAGAGTAATCTTGCCAGGGCACTCGAATGGACCCCTCAATCTTACAATGAAGGCCAAAGTCACTTCCCACATGAAACGGATGTCCCTAAACCTGAACCCTACGCCCTCCACGCCTGCCGCATAAATAAAATCCCCTAGAACAGGGGGCGGACCAGCCTCATTTCGGAGGATCTGGACAGTGATCAGGAAGGAGAACAGCAGCTTATGGTCCTTCCCACAGGAGAACTTCAGATGAGGCTGACCATCTAGCCGTAGATAAGGGCTGTGTCAGGCTTACAGGGCCGAAACTACACACCCGAAAATGTAGAAACTCTCCTTTTCTTGCTAACGGAAAGTGATTGACGGACTTTAAACATGCAGGGATCCTCGGGGTAGACTGCAGGGGCCCAAATACTTATTACCCATATCAGTTTGAGGTCGCTTGAGTTAGCCCATATGATTTACAAAGATTCGAGAACCATAATATTGGTATTTACTTAGGTCCCCGAAATCAAGATTGGGATTTAAAGTAAAGGATGAATAGGTGAGGATGCTTTCAATCGTAGGGATTCCGGATTGACTAAAAGGTTCTTTGAGAGCTGCTGAGGGACTAATACGGGGACTGTATACTTTCATTTCTCGCATCTAGGGGGTCAGCCCCCATACCCCACGCAACGACCCTAAAAAAGGAATCCCCTTTTGATCGGTGGTTGTTGATTGCACTAAAGGGTCTAAGTGCTAGGGACAACATTTGAGGCACCAGGCTGCTTATTCTAAGGACTCCTGCGGCTGGCATCTGGCAACATACTGGTGGGTTAGTAGGGAATAAG